GTGACCTCGCCAATCACCGAACGATCGGGTATGCTCTGGGCCATGCCATACAGAGCCATTTTACCAACCACTGGCTGACCAGGATCCTTCATAATCTCCGCTGTGCAGGTACGCAAATCAGCCAAAAACTTATCCGCCACACCCGCCTGGGTGTGCATGTCCGTGATGCAGATGTGAATGCTGCACGAGAGTAAAAGAAATGTAGATACATTTCTATTATTAGAAATGACAATACTTACCCGGAGGGGAACTGCAGTGGGTTAAGATTCCAGCCCAGTTTGCACAGCGCATCCGAGAGCCGGAAAATGTCAAACACATTCGAACCCATGGCAATAACAGAGGTGGCTGGCTTGCCAAAAACGAAAATGCCATCGATCTGACGCACGCTAAAATAAACCGGATAGTTTAAAAAAAGATCACATGAAATACTTGTGGTATTTACCCTCGCTCAATGTAACGGGCTGTGTCCACAATGCGTTTGGTCGCCTCCAGATAGCCCTCATAGCCGAAATTCATCATTGTAGCCCAGCAGGCGGCAATGATGCCACCAGCACGGGAGCCATTCACTGTGGGTGAGCCGTAAACGCCGCCAGGCCAGTCGGTTGTGACCGTAAATTGATGATCCTTAAACTTCTTCTGCGAGTACATTATGACCGACGAGCCCTTCGGTGCAAAGCCGTATTTATGCGTATCGGCTGAGATGCTGGTCACGCCCTTTACAGCAAAGTCGAAGGGGCGCAGCTGATAGCCAGCATGACGCACCAGCGCAACCACAAAGCTGCCCAGGCAAGCATCCACATGCACGGGAATATTATACTTGACGCCCAGCTCAGCAATAGCTTCGATATCATCAATGGTGCCATACGGAAAATTGGGCGCAGAGCCAACCAGCTGAACACGAAATAAGTTTTAGAGCATAGTTCACATGAGTTAGGGTGCTCACTTACCAGAATGGTATTCCTATTGATGGCTCGCTTGAATTTCTTGATGTCCACCTCGTAGGTTTCCGGATCGACGTCCACGTAGCGCACGTGTATATTGAAGTACTGGCCACCCTTGTCAAAGGCTGCGTGCGCCGTGCGCGGTACCACAATGTTTGGCCTCGTGATGCCCTTCTCCTCGCGTGCATAGTCCCGATAGGCCTTCATGGCCATGCAAATGGACTCCGTGCCACCGGTTGTCATTGTGCCGCAGCTGTCGGCATTGCCATGAAATAGCGTGCAGGCCATGCGCACCACCTCGGCTTCCATTTTACACACGCCAGGGAAGAGATCGGCATGAAGGGGATTCGTGTAGGAAGCCTTGCCATAAACCTCTGTAACCAGCTCCACCAGCTCCGGATTGTAGCCATAGACAGCGCCAGACACACGTCCATCGCGCCAGCTGTAGTGACCAGCCTTGAGATGATCATCCACGAGCCCAAGTATCTGCTCCTTAGTTAGGCCCTTCTCGGGCAGACGCACCGAGTACTCCAAATGCTGGTTGCTCTTCTGGATTTCCGACTCAAAGTCGTTCTTGGCCTTGCTCAGCTCTTTCTCCACTTGGCGGCGAACAGCCGGCAGCTTCTTGGCCAACTTAAAGAACTGACGCCTGCCCCGCACATAGAGACCTGCAAGAGAAGTACTGTCATTTTAAACGCTATTGATAATCTCAGGTACTTTTTGGGGGCTTAATTAGCAATGTTTATCAGCTGACTGATAAATGCCTGCTTATCAACAATTATGAATACTTTGTTAGACGCAAGAACCGGTAGCCAGGCAACTGCTTAACAATCGATCACAAACTTAACGGAAGCAATAAGATTAACTGCTCGAATTACGAAATAGCGAGTACATAAATATCATTGCCGATTTATAATTGACATTTAACATGTAAATAATAATGAAAAGCGAAAATCTTAACAAGCATGCGATTTTTTATTAGGAAAGAGTAAAAAATATTAAAAATTAAGCTATCGTTTTTGTTTTTTGATCCTAGGCTAGGGTAAATTAATTGATGATGACAGAGCATATATAATTTATGTGAACAAATGTGTCACATCCAATATGTTACACATTTCTTGCCCTCTGCAAGCCAATAATTAGTCACAATTAGTAAGCTCTTTTTATATAATGGTGCCACCTAAATGGGACTGATAAAAGACCTAGAAAGTTAATATCTGACTGCGCAAGAAATAACAATTATGAAATGATATGTTAGATAACATATGAAAATTAAATATAGAATTGAATCAAGCTCATAACACACAGAAATTTGTTTTTTTTAAATTCAATAAGTACATAATACGCGCCACTATCTGATCTCGTATGAACTATGGCTCCTGAAATATGTACATTTATATATAACTTTCCGTTTCACATGGCAAAACACAAGTCAATGTAGATTTGCACTGAACTATTACGTTAGACAAGTATAATCTATGCATAATCTATTAAATAGATTAAGCTATAGGGTTCACAAGGGGATGGGTCGGTAAAGTTTAAAGTACATAGGGCTTATTTTCTATATGTGTATGCATGTTTATTTCTTACTGATAAGATTATTTGAGGGATTAAAGTGTTTGACAAATGGCTCTGGGAAAATAGACGGACACTTACTTTCATCCTTGCTGAGCTCCGTCCAGATCCAAACGCCTCCCAAAACGGTTGTCGCTGTAATTGCGGCCACCTGCCAGGGCTCCTTGTTGCCAAAGGCACGGTTGATGCAGCCGCTGACGGGCTTCACGCAATCGCTGCCAGAAAATGGACGCATTTTGCCGCCAATCGAAGCACAACTAAAATGAAAGTTGATAAATGATATATGTATATGTACGGAAGGCGTACTCAGAACACCGCCACACTTGCTGGCCGCACGTTAATAACTGAAATTATGTGGGGCGCTAGTTGCCTGATAATCGCATAGAAACCGGTCTGTTAACTGATAAGCGTATCGGGCGCATTCCATATTTAAACGATTTATTGCTAGGCCTTAAAAAACCAGAGTTTAAATCGGGAACAAATGCCTTGTTGTTACTTACTGCACACCTGACAGAAAACAAAGACAATATTGTAAATACGAAATTGCATTCTGGGGTTACGACAGTTCACTCACCAGTTGTGCTGACTAATCAAATTGTTTGTGCTTTGATTAAATGCTTAATTATTAAATACAAATTAAATGAGCTTATGGCACCTGTTTGTTTTGCCGTGTGAAATGTTACTAAACAAATGAGCGCTCAGCTCAGCTGTTGCGCTGGCACCGATAGCAAACGATATATCGATAGCTGTTTTGTGCCTGGCAATGTTGTACATCGATGATAAGGATGAGTACGCTGCTCAGGCAAAATTGCGTGTGCCTTGTGTGATCGTACACAGCTGATATGTTGTTGCAACTAACAGCAAATAGCAAATAAATATCGATAGTCACATATCTAGCGATCCTTTAAGCATTTAGATCATTTTACAGTTTAATAAATATGCTTCGTAATCTGCCAAATGGACTGAAATTGGTAATTATTATAAAAGAAAAGTTATTATATTTGTTTAATCATCCTTTCTAAGCAGTGCGGGCGTTTAGTGCCCATTCGTTTCGCAAGTAATATAAAAGCCGAGGAGTTCATAAAGGTGAGCAGAAATTCATTAACAAAAGACGTATTAACCGTTAATATGCAGGTAAAAAATCAACAAGGCGTGCGTAAAATCACATTATGCCATCCGCGTACACGGAATTCCCTCTCGATGGACATGATGTGCGCCCTGCACGAGGCACTCATCGCGGATCGGGAAAATGTAGAGCTGCGATGCGTTGTTCTGACGGCCGAGGGCAAAGTTTGGTCTGCTGGCCACAATTTAAAGGAGCTGCAGCCCAACGATATTCAATTTCGGGACTCTGTTTTCCAAAAGTTAACCGACATTGTGCTGGACATAAAAAAGTTGCCTGTGCCGGTGATAGCCAAGGTTAATGGCTATGCGGCTGCGGCTGGCTGTCAGCTGGCGGCTTCCTGCGACATTATTGTGGCCTCGGACAAGAGCATGTTCTCCACGCCTGGGTAGATAGTTGATCTTAACTTGGATTCGCTCATTCACATTCTACCTTACAGCGCCGGCGTTGGTGTATTCTGCAACACGCCCGGCGTGGCCGTTGGACGCGTCATGTCGCGCCCCAAGTCGGCGTACATGCTAATGACTGGCCTGCCTCTAAGCAGTCAGGAGGCCTACGTGGCTGGCTTGGTCACAAAAGTGGTACCGGAAAACGAGCTGGAGAAAACAATTGAGGAAATTGTCGGTGCCATCAGAGAAAAAAGTCGTGCCGTTATCGCCCTCGGCAAGGAATTTTACTATCAACAGCTCAATATGCCGCTCGAGGATGCCTACATTAAGGCCAAGGCTAAAATGAATGAAAATCTGCAATTAGAAGACTGCAAGGAGGGCATGAGCAGCTTCGTTGAGAAGCGTGCGCCCAAATGGAAGCATACCAAATGAGATCTGTCACCTGCCGAGATAAACTATCAGTTGTATGGACCCGAACAAATGTGCATTTAGCTTATGTATGGACAAATATAGTTAAGAACTTATTATGCATTTTAAACGCACTCGTCTACGTTCTTGCCATCCTGATCATCTCGTTAATCATCCTTACGGCTGCATATGATAATGGGTAAGTACAAGAAAGTTATAATTGTAAATTTCGTTTCGATTTCTACTACTTTTATATTTCGTAAATTTAGAATTTCGACAGGTTGTAAGATTAAGGGCGCAATAAACATCCGATTGCTATTTGAATTTCCTAGACTATTATCAGGTGTTTAGTGTCTTATCAAAAATCCTTTAGAGAGATCAGTGCAAGTGTTTTTTCTGTACTGTCGTTACTATTCTCTAAGTTTTTCTGGGTGCACTTCATTTTGTATTTTGACTATATATGTTGGTATAATTTTCCAAGCAAAGGTTTATTCTTTTTCCAATTGCCAATTGAGATATATATTGTTTTTCTTAATTCCTTCCTCAAAATAAAACCAATTTTCGTGCTTTCGAAAAGTATGCTCAATTCTTATTTTGTGTGTAGTTTATTCAAAACGTGTTTGTGTGTGCAAATATTTAAAAATACAAATACAATGTTTGACGTGGATAATTAATGAAAATAATAATCAAAAAAAAAAAAAATAAAATAAAATAAAAATATTTATATGTTGGCAGTTGTTGTCTGTGTGGAGTTAAGAATTTATTTGTTTTCAGTTCAACTATATCCAATATTTAAATTTTGAGGTTTTGTCTGAGTCTTTTTCAATAGATTTCTGTTTAAATGGTTGGACGTAGAAAATTCTTGAGGCTGGACGAATGTGTGCCGAAATCGTAAAAAGAAAAAATATTAAAATAATAAAATATTTGCGTCGTTGTCGCTGCTGTTGTTGTTGCTGCCGCGTTGTTGTTGTTGTTGTTTGTGTTGTGATGTTTAAATATTTAAAACTCTTCGCATTGAACTAAAGATAGTAGAATATTAATCTTATAGGATGTGGAACATATAGATATATATATATGTATACAGATATATATGCATAGTTAACATACATATCGATACATAGAGTTTATATAGTAAGCGTTAAGCATATACATATGTACTACTAGGAGTATTTTCTAAAAGTAGAGCAATATTATAACTGTGCAATAAAATATTTTTTTCTTTCTCAGGTTTTTTCTTTTATAGTCACGAACTTTAAAAGTGTTATTTTAAAGCTAGAAAATAGATCCATTTTCGAGGCAATGCAAAGAGAATTATGCCAAAAGAATTATTTAGTGTCATGTGCTAAAAGACTACGCATAAATATTTGAAATTCCGAACGTAACCCCGTGCGGTTAAATCCCCCTCTCGCAGGTCTACCAAAATTAGAAGCCCCAACTAAAAGGGTACAAAATGTGTGAAAAATAATGCCAAAAAAAAAAAAATAATAAAAATAATAATAATGGTGTCGTGTTGGGTGTTGTTAGTAGTTGTTGTTGTTGTTCTTGTTATTGTTGTGCAATGATTCTCCCTCCGCACTTCTGCCGGCTTGCTGCTGGTTTTTTTGTTTTTTTAATTTGTTGTTAGCTCTTCACTTTAGACCTCGGTAACGGGACGCTTCTCAATCCAAGCCTTGATGGGCTCCAGGGCATTGATGGCCTCGACGACGCCGCGCAGAGCAGGGTATGGCTCCAGCAGATCGCGCTTCACCATGTAGTTCATGTAGTCGGTGATGCCGGCAAAGTAAACATCGGCCCAAGTGAGCTGGATTACACAGAAATAGGTTTAGTTAAGGGTTTGGGTTAGGGTTTATATTTATGTGTTCTCATTGCTGTTGCCCACCTTGCTCAAAGCCAGATGACCGTCGTTGTCCTTGACGGTCTGCTCCAGTTTCTCCAGATAGAATGGAATGACCTCGGCGTTTAGGGTGACCAGCTTCTTCTCCTTGATCTCATCCTCGGGCTCGTACGAGACGACTGCAATTTCTATACATTAAAAATTCCAGAGTTAATCAAGGACACTGAACATGAAACTGAAGCACACATTGTTCGCTACTTAGACGGAAGTCATTGATGGTATCAACCACAATGTCGATCTGCAGATCCTCCCAGGGCGTGGCGCCGCACAAGCCGACTGTCTTGGCCAGAAAACGAGCCATCGAGATGCTCTGATGCACACGCTTGCCATCCACCTCCAGTACCGGCATCTGGCCCATGGGCATGGCTAAGCAAATTGATTAGTGAGCATGAGTTTGGGTCATCGAGTAGATGCACTTACTTGGCTTTAGGGCTGGCCATTCGTCGCGGGTGACGCGCACATCCTCGTACTCGATGCCGCCATAGGCGAACAGATAGCGCAACGGCTCGGCGAGGGCCTTCACGTTGAAATAGAAGAGGGTGTAGCTGTGCTTGATCGGCTCGGCGGGCTCGGCGGGTGGTGCGGCCTCGCCATCGGCTGCTGGTGCTGCCTCGCCATCGGCTGGTGGTGCAGCCTCGCCCTCTGCTGGTGGTGCGCCCTCAGCTGGTGGTGCTTGTGCTTCGTCGGCCATTTCTGCGCTTAATCAATGCAATTCCCTGCGTGAAATCAACAACAATCAAATATCTGTGAGTATCGCATTTCAAAAGCGGCTCTTGAGTTGCTTATCACGTTTTTTATTTCTATTCATTTTACTTCCATTATGCCCACACAGCACATCACCCATACACAAACATATATGGTGTAAACAAGGCCCTGGCCATAATCAGCGGTCTGTTTGTTTGGCTAAGCGTGGAGAATCTTTTAGATAACAATTCTTTTATGGAATTGGATTGTGCCAGATACATATAGTATATGTAGAATATGGCATAGGACTATCGTACGCTTTATGGCGCTAAGATTATGTTTAGTCCACATATTTTATGTGTGCTTTGAACTAGTTAACAGCCATTAAGGATAAGATAAGCACAGGTTCTTAATGAACACATAAAACATAGGTATTTCCATTAAGGTTTCGAGCAGTTTCTACTATGCAAAAACATGGTAATGCAACAGTATATCAGACTATTTATAAAAACTATAATCGAATTCGGTTTGTGGTTATCGCCCGCCATATATACATATATGGCTTCTATTTCACAATATCAACGATAACGCAAAATTGTAATGGAACAACTGCGTGGAAAATAGATTCTCAATGTGTAGCTGTCTATTATTATTTCAGCGGCCCGATAACAACGTAAAAGTGACAAGCAATTGTTTTATTGTTTAATTTTAATTAACAGTTGCTACAATTGATATTTTTAGAAATTAAAGGTAGAACTTCGCTTTGCAGCTCACAGATTAAACTGTTCCTTAACAAGTTTCTTAAGTAAGGCTTGTGTCTAATTGTATTTTAAATCTGCAAGGGTATATAAGTTAGTTAATTTAATTAATTTCAATAATAAATCTATACACTTTTCCCCATTTGAAGACAATTAAAAAGTATCTTTTACGTTCAATCTCTCGTTGTCAAAGGTATAAGATTGATGAAACTTTAAGCAATAAGATATTATTGCCCATGACACAGGATAATTCTATTCAAAGATTCAATCGCTATAGCTTATGATATTTGCCCTACTGAAGTTCCTTATAGCTAACTATTTTCTAGATTATTTCGTTTACATTCTCTCTTCTAGTTTGATTTGTAAAGAAAGGATCATCTATGCAATCTCTGTTTGTCTGCAATTTGTATATTTTGATTTTATTAGGATAAAAAAAGTCTCTCTTGTGAATGTATATATAATTGCCCATTCCATTACACAACGAAGGCCACCATTTCTTTAGCATAGACTCGATTTGACCATATTTGGGGCTTTCGTTACCTTCAAATTGTCAACATTTCAGCGGGCAATTGCGATAAATCAAAAGCTGACAAAATAATTACCATATAATTGCCATATTTATATATATATTGTTTATATAAATATATCTTATATACATATATAAACGGTATTTAAGTATTTCGTATGGACTGGGTCTGGCGCAAAGCGGAAATGCATCGATTATGCCAGAGACACGACTTGAGAACTGCAGCAGGAGGTGGAGCTGGGGAACTGGCAACAGCCAGAGACAAGACTCGACTTAACTCGACTCAGAGACAGACGCAGACGCAGACAGACGACGATCCGCACCCACACAATTCGCATTGAACGACGCGTTTCTCCATAGATCAGTTGGTTCTGTTTCGAGTCAAGAAAGTCGCTGGGGCGTTGGCGCTTTTGTTACGCCCCTATTTCCATTGTTTTTATTTTTTTTTGTTCTTTATTTTTTATGATAATATTAACTGCTGGGCAGGAAGTGACGCGGAGCCCTTCGTGTGCCTTGTGGAAAGGCGAGCGAGCTGTAAGTGTCGCTGTCTTCGGTCCCGCATTTGGCAGGGCGCCCAGTCAGTCAGACGGACAGACGGACGGACAGTCGACAGTTGGTAGTCCTCCCCTCTGCAGCCCCTTAAGTAATGCCCGATTGGTCGCCTCTTCCGCTGCAATTTCGTGTCTCAAATTGCAACAATCGATTTGACTTCTCTCACTATCTTACACTGATTCTCTCTCTCTCTCTCTCTCTCACTCTCTATCTTGGCTTCTATCTCTGTTGCACGAACTTGTTGCTGTGGGTGCTTCAATTGAATTTAATTTGGCATGATCCATCGCAGGAGCGGGCGTGAGGCGCTAGGGCCATGGGTATTTTAGTGTCATGATTTAATTAAATTTCGATTTTAAATTTGCTCGCTATGCTGTGCTATTTTAATGCTTTGATGTTGCCTTTTGCCCAATTGCCTTGTCTCGCAGCACTTAATTGTGTGAAATCGATTTACAATTTTCGTTTCGTGCGATTTATACGAAAATCTTTCGAAAATGTTGGGGCCCAGTTCAAAAGAGGTTAGGCCAAAATTACTTATAAAGCAATTTGAGAATAGTTCAAGCACATAATATAGAGAACCTGGTTTTTCCTTAATAATATCATAATCTTTCTCACTACGATATTATCACAAAAGTATTTTAGGCTATTTTCGAGATTTAATCAGTTTTCAGAAAATATTCTTCCCAATCAGAAAGCTCCAGTAGAAATGCTCTAGTAAAAAATGGGCAAGCCCCTGTCTAATTACACTTGCAATATTCACTTGGAATCTGATTTTGTCGATTTTCCCAAATATTTAATCAGGTCAGGAACCTGAAAGTGCGTCAGCACGTAGCACGTGCTATGATGAATCCAGCGCCAGATGGTCAAGGAATCTTAAAATATGGGCAGAGCAACTGGAAAGCGACTGGCACTGATTACAGATGAACTCAGTGATCAAGTCTCCAGGCGATTTCTTATCAATGACATTTACAATTGCCGCACTCAGATTCAACTAACGGGGACTGGGTATTGATATTTATTTTGTCTGTTATCAACTTTGGGTTCATATGTATATTTATTTTACGCTAGGTATTTTGTCTGGGTTATATAAGCTGGTTGTTGTCTTTTTTGAAATTGAATTGAAATATCGCGAGGTAAATTGTAAAATTGTTCCGTACGTAAAATTTAAGTACCTCACGCTTCGAAATTCGTACGCGCACTCCACGATTGAAATAATTTGGATTTCGAGTTTACTATTTGTAATGCAATTCGTAGAAGGTTTGTCTCGTTTCGACTTTCTTGGTCGATGTCTCGTTGGATTGGGTTTTGGTCCACACACGTCGTTGTCCTTCACATATTTGCGTGCGAATGATTCGAGTCGTAGGCAAGAACTGCGAATGCCCGAAACGAGTTCAAAACTTTTCGATTTCGAATCGATTGACCCACAAATCAACCAAAAGACAGTTCCAATTTTAGACAACGATCGCCAAAAACCGAAGGCAAATCGACCGACAACGAGACGTGCAGCTTTCGGCGTTTCGGAAATTGATTTACAAATTGGCAAAGGAGAACAGTTTAGCAATTTACTTAATTACATCACTTTAGTGTATTTACTTTAGTATTTGCTTTCAATTTCACATTTGTCCTTTTGGCTGTGCCTTACCTCAACGAACTTTTCCAAACAAATTCAGCTCCAGCTGCGCTTTCCAATTAAGAATTTTGTTTTGGAGTTTGGCTTTTCTAGCACGGCTGGTCACACAGCAAACAGGAGAAACAGTTGAACCTGAACCGATCGCAGCAGCTAAGCAACAGCAATGAACGCCGACTATTGTTGGAGAAGTTGGGCGACGGCTTTTATACGTTCCAATTGACTAAATGGGCGGCGCCACTCCCACATGGAACTGCTCTGAGCAGCGAAAAAGTAGCGAAAGCGGCGACGGTGTGCGCACAGAGAACTTTTCACTGTGGCGACGCCGAGAGTTTCGATCGTTGTGGGTTTTGGGCAGCGCTCTCTCAGAATGTTTGCGTGTTGTTGCCGTGGCGTTTTTTTTTTTTTTTCGTAACTAACATTTAAATATGCCATTTCAAATGAAAATGAATAATTATCTTAATAAAAAATGCTGCTACAAGATACAAATGCAGTTGCTATAGACCAATTAATAGTTTTTTCTTCTTCTTATATTACCCCACTCGTTGCCTAAACTTACGCTCTCTGAGCGATAAAAGGCGCTTAGCAGCAGCAGCAGCAGGCCTGTTAAGAGAGCGACTGAGCCGGCAGCCGGCCGGTTTAATGACGCCTTGTGTGTACGTATGTATTGGTGAGAGTAATTGCATTTTGTGTGTGTGTGTGTGCACGTGTGGGCGTTGTGACATGTGCTTTTCTCAATGCCTTACAAAGGAATACTCTTGCCTGATGAATTCAATTAAATGCCGTAGATATTTTAATTTTTCTATTCTACTTGTTTATTGTCTGCAGTTTACCTAATTGGGCATTTGCATACAGCTCTTGGCTAATTTATTGGTTTAAGGAATAGTTGTGGCGCTCTTAAAAATGTCTTGTTCGCACACTCATTCTCTTTATTGTGGCTTCTGAGAGTAAATTGTGTTGGTATTTGTTTGATCTGTGTCGTCTCCAACTAAATATTTGGCGAGCTTTCAATTATGAACCAATTATGGCTGGTAGCCTTGACTAAACCAATATTTATCACGGCTTTTAGTTAGAGTAGCTTATTTGACATTTTAATGATAGTTTAAACAACCAAATCGGGACAATATTTAGAATAGATGCTTAGAGGTAAGTTTCTGTGATAAGCGGAAGTCAATATATATTGTGATTATATATTGTGTGCCCATTCGGCCATTCGGCGTTGCAATTGCAACGAATCTATGTCTTTCTTTTTCAAATCTTTCTTATCTTAATGGCATCACATATTGAACCAATTTGTGGTTGACTGAAGGATTTTTCGATTTAGGCATTTCCGCTAGAAAACGGGCTTTGTTTAGGGTTACAACTCATTAGCTGAAAACAATTTGGAGGCAGAGGAAAATTTTCTGTAACGCCAACATGAGCCGGTGAATCGCCTATGAGTCGTATGTTTCAGCCTATCGGCGCCAGGCTATGAAATCTGAACGCTTTCCAAGCTTGTTTATGCTAGAGTGCAACGCAGACAAAGTCCAACTAGAGCGAACTGGTTGGCACAGGCCTTTAAAAAGAACCCTAGCTAAATTTAAATTAAATATATTGAATCATATATTGCATATACATATATATATGTGTTTAAAGAATTTTAAAAGAAATTTTTTATATATATATACTTATTTTAGTTTTCAAGTTTAGTTATGGCCGTTTAAAACATTCAAAAAGTTACTGCTTGCCTGCATTCTAATCGTACTGCCAATGCGTTGCACTGCTTGAGTTGCACTGCTTGCTGTGCTTTTGATAAGCTCTTGTGACATGCAAAAGCTCACTGCTAGTTCAAGCACCTTGTTGAAAACTGCTTGCTATATAACTCGAATAAAAGGCGCTAATTTTAAAATTACCAGCGATTATAAAAAAAAAAAAAAGACTTGGCCCAATAATTGATAACGACTGAATTTCACCAGTTGCCGGTGAGTCCCCCTGCTGAATTCCCAATCGAGTTGCTTGGGCTGTTGACTAACTCGAAACGTTCGAAAATGTGCTATGATAAGCAAAAATGAGTAAAATACTTCAGCACAGACTTAAAAGCACGCCAAATGTTCAATTGGCCTCAATGCTTTCGATTGAATTGCCAACTGACGCAAAAAATAAAAGAAAACTTGCTAAAAAAAAACTGATAAGATAATAGGTTCGTATATTTTGCGCAGTCAACGAATAAGTTTGAATCAAACTAAAGAAATTAAAAAAATGTTTATGTCGTTTGGTTAACTTACCTTGAAATAAGAAATTTCAAACGATGTTTTTTATTTGGAATTTAATAGAAACAGTTTTGCTAACAGCTGTTGAGCTACTGAAATATTTGGAAATAGTTGTTTTCACTTTGACATGAGACAAAATAATTGCTTGCTTTGAGAATTTTCTCAAACAACAACAAACGACAACAATTTCTACCGGTAGATCTCAGCTACATGCTTTGGTGTCATTGTATTTGTCGGCCTAGACTAATTAAGAATTTATGCCGCCTGCATGTAAATAAAAAGCGAAATAATAAAGCGCAACAACAAAAAGAGTTATGACAATAATTTGCTGTAGAAAATGCGGCGAACTCACAAACACCAACAACAACACATACGCGCACACACACTGCTACAGCTGCTAAATTGTGTGAGAGTGTGCAATCTAAATAATAAAGGTAAAACAACAACAACAACAAACAACAAAAAAAGTTATAACTAAAGCAGCGGAGTCGGCGCAGCAATGGCAACGACAACAACTAAAGCAAACAGTTAGCAGTCGACAACAACAACAGTGTCATGACAAAGAGGAAGAGGGAAATTCAGTAGAGTGCACAGTGGTTGATATCAGCAAAGAAGATATAAATAATATTTTGGAATATATGCTTTTAACAGTAGAGTCCATTTTCAAAGGTATTTGAAAACATTAAATAATTGAAGCTGTTTAATGGAGAAGTCAACTCTGGCATTAATAGGAACTGTAGAAGTAATATTGAGCTATTTTATTAATTTTGTATTTGTGATTTTGCCCACTGTCACTCGAGAGTCGTCGACTGCGCACTTGCTGCAATGCGCGAATTCCGGATCAGTGCCAATTCAAATGCGCAGGTGAGCTGAACGTTTGTTTCATTGTCCGTCGCTCGGTCGTTCGGTTCGTTTCTTATGTTTTTATCGTTTCGTGTCTCGTCATCGTCTGTCTCTGTCGTGTCTGCGCAGAACAGTTAACAGCAACACCAACAGCCGCAACGACACTTGCGTCAGCGCGTGTGTGTATGCCCGTGCATGTAATTGCGTGTGCGTTTGTATGCGTTTGTTGTTGTGTACGGATTGCGTATACGCCGCGTGCGCTGCGGCTCATGAACTTGTAGAACTTTAAACTGATTTTTCAACTCACTTGGTTAGTTGTTGCACTTGCGATTGAGGCTGACCTTAGTTTGGTTTTAACCTTTTGTGCCTGTGCTTAAACAATGTAAGTGCCAAAAATGGCAAGAGCACATGAAATACACGTATTTACTTATTTACCTAAGCATATGAAACAAATGAACAAAAAACCCAAACAGCAAAAAATAAAATGGACTATGCACGCTTACAATATTCCAGCTAATTGTTTAATTAACACGTGCCCACAAATTATAAAAAAGACACAAACAATATATATATACAAAAAAAAAAACTAAAAAATTATGAAAAATAAAAATAATAAAGCAAAACGCTTTTACATAGCGTTTTTGTTAGACAGCTGTTGTTATGTCCCTCTCTCTCTCTCTGTTCCTCTCTCTGTGTGTGTGTGAGTGGGTTTTTTTTTGTGCGTTTTATAGCTACATTTATTTATTCACATTTTAGCATCGTACTTAACCAATTTTTGTAGATCTACCAACAACAACTCGTATCAGTTGCGGTTAGTGTCACTTTTTTTTACCAGCCTTACTTATCGGCAAAATGAACGATACACACAAAGACAATAACAAAAAAATCATAAAGACATATGTATATATATAATATTAAATAAAACAACAAAATGTGAAAAAACACACACTTCAATGTGAATGATGGGAAACAATTGCACAAAGCTGGTTTGTGCGGAACTTTATAAGTTACCTGTTATAAGTTAATCGATTAATCGATTCCAGGAATACTAAAAACACAATATCATTTTATTTTTGTGTTTCGTTAACATGCCGTTATGTAATAAATGAAAAGATTTTAATTTAAATAATTAGTAAATATCAAAAAAAAAGCTAACAAAAACTCTTTTGTTTATGGCTTTGTGTCAGTTTTATAACATTTGACACTCTTTTCTTTCTCTCTCAGTAAGTTAATTAATTAAATTAAAACTAAAAAACTCCCTTTTTTATCAGCACAACACAATCATATCTGTCATTTGCTTTTATGATTATTACAGTCTATTTTTGTGCCGGAAATTCCTAGAAACGGCTTTGAGAATTCTATCGAAAGATTAGAGACAGAGATATCAAAGCCTCTGCCCCCCCCCCCCCCCCAACAATACAGCAAATTTGTTTGAACTTGTTGCATTGAGCCGTTAAGCATCTAATGCTAAGCACGTCGGGTTAGACCTAACCAGTTTGGAGTCAAGATTCGAACTGTAATTGACTCTATCAATCTAAAAATAGCAGATCGGGTAACCTAATGGATCTACAAAACAATTGCTTTTAAGCTTACCTCCAATTCTGTTCCGTTTTTTTTTGCAACTTCTTGACAGACTGTTGTTAATATACTCTATATGTATATATATTTGTGTTGTAAAGGAAATGAGTCAACGCTTATCACAGAATAAAAACTTTACAATCGTGTTCAGTTTTATTGAATCTTATCCGAGATAGTTAATCATAATTTAGCTTAATCCAGTTTAATAGGTTAAAGATGGCCATTAATACCTCTCACCTTTCATAAAATATTATATATATTATAAATCACTTGAAAATAAAATAAAATAATCAGATAAATCGATGGATAAGCCAACAGTGAAAAGTGGCAATATTGCAATGAAAAATGGCAACGCCGCCCATATTAAATATTAACAATAGGTAAATAAAATTGGGTCACCTCGTTAAAGTGGTAAACGGCACCTGCCAACTTTTTAATCCCTTCTATAAATACCTCTCACTTTTAATCAAAAAATATTTACCTTAAATAAGTTTTATTAATCACTTGAAAATAATATGCAAAGCCTTTAATCAACTGTAACTAAAGTGGTTTATCGCAGTTGCCATTGAACGACTTAAGCGACAGTAAATTTTAATACTAAAACAGGAATAGTTAGATTAAATTACAGTGAAAAGTGGCAACAAGGCAGTGAAAATTGGCAACTAGGCGCGATTTAAACTTTTAACTAATGGTTAAATAAAACAATTACAATATAATTGTTTAGTTTTCGTTTTTTTTTGTTGTTTGGGAAAACCCATATATCACAGCAAAGAGAATCCCCATTCAGTTGCGATAAATAAATTTGATGACTTACGCCTCTATACAATACCAAATGGGTTAGACATTTTTACCGAAAACATTCACAGGGCTTACCTTACCGAAATTTCCATTAACAGTGCCCAGGCACCGATTGCACGCGAGCCCAAACGCAATTGCAAATTCACGGAAAGTGCTATCAAATATGGCGTCAAGTATTTAAGATAGTTGCTTATCGATGGCATTGATAGATAACAATTCAGGGCCCGCTACGTACAAACCTTGGCGCAATATGTGCGACAGGTGATGCGACCTTTTTGGGCTAACATCAGGTGTAGGCCCAGGCCCAATTATCTAACTGGGTCAACAAACAGCCCCCGCTGTATAATCAAAGCCAATGTCAGTTATGTTCCTAGCTGTTTATTCGCATTAATCAAAATAAATGCTCAACACTGTAATAAACTGTATCGAGACGAAGTTTATGGGTCAGTTATGGTTAATATAATTGTGCGGCCGCATGCAGGACTTGATAATTTGTTCAACTACGACCGGAAACGAAAGAGCTGCAATGAAAAATGTGCATTAAGTAAATAGTTTTTAGCGAAATTTGGCTAGGCTAATTTGACCTACGTTTGTCTGTAAGAGCTGTTATAGCATGGGATTTAGATCTGGCCAGCTGGCTTTATCGACGTCCTGTCCCTCAATGTTGTTGCGCTTATCGCTGTTCAGGCCGCAAATGGAGCAAATGCTTTTGTCCTTGCGCAGCAGATGCTTGTCCAGAAAGTGAGAGTTCTTGCGCCGCTCCGGGCTGCCTGTGTTTTCCAAGGCGCTGCACGCGGAGCACGAGGAAGTCCGCGACTTGACTCGGCTGCCAGCCTCGACCAACGAGCGACTACGCATGCCATCTCCCTGTCCCTGGGCCTTGCTCTCCATGGGCGAGCGTGTTGGCGTCTCGTTATTGGTCTTGCCGGATGCCAATTTATTGCTGGGCACATTGTTCGGAATGCTTGGTGTTGGCGTATCCGTGCTCAGCTTGTACATGGGCCCCTGGCGATCTACAAAGCCCAGACGTAGACTTTCCTCCAGTGCCCGATCCACCTCCTTTTGCAGCTGGGGCAGATCATTAAAGCGTATGTTCTGTTGCTTGGCCACTTGGATGATGATGTCCTCCTTGGTGCCGGGACCGGCAAGCGACAGAAATGCGCCATAAATGTTTAAGCGTTTCATTACTCCAATTTTAAAAATACAAATTTAAAACTGCAAATTTTTTTGCTATAATCAGTATATTAAAAAAAAAAAAACAAAACAGTAAATTCTTTACAAGTTTTTGTCCAAGCTGTTCAGCCTCTAAGTTTATCGAATGACTGAATGTTTTCGCCCAAGCTATAAATTCGTGGACTACTATTTAAAAAAAAAAGAATGTTTTATGAAAATCTATTCAATGCTTACTATGCCATACTGTTTCAATTGACCCAGTTCACTTAAGTTCCGATTGAAATGAATGGATTTAACAATGATTTCATTTTATTCTTTTTATTACATTTTAGTCCCTACTTAAATATCATATTCCATTCTGTTGCATTTCAACTACATTGGTTGAGTTTTATTTTGTGTCAGCCCAGTCTGAACGTCACACATAATTAACTACCGTAGAGAGTGTGTGTGTTTAAATGTGCATATAGATCTGACGACGCTCACTCTTTGAACCCCTGATCGCTTGACGTCATTCGGCGTATAAATAAAACTTATTTATATTTTGCTAGTGCTTATTAGACACATTTTCTGCAAATATTTGCGCGATTATCGGGCAACTTAACCGAGTTAAGCAGTTTAAAATACTATAGCAAAAAGAGAGTGCTGCACGCATGACTTTATCTTTAGCTGGAATAACAAGTCACTCGTGTATACATACATCATTTTGTTGAGATACGCATGAGCTAAATGCTAATTATGTACTAGTAGAAACCAAAGTTCACGGGCTTAGCTCGAGATTATCAGTTGCCTATGATATAATAGCCACTTCTCATTTTTGATCGATTTTCTTATCGATAATGCACTTTGTTATCGATTATTTGTATTAATAAAAAATCTTGCCTCATCAATGTGTGTCAAAAGAATCGGTATCGATCATTATCGGTTTAGTTTTCCAGATAACTTAATTAGTTTTTTTTTCGATTAATATCGGCTGTCGTGTACCTGTAGTTCGATTAATATTTTATATTGATAGATAATTTGCACTAATTATCAATTATATTATTCCTTTATTTGGCAAACTACAATTCAGATGAGAGCTTTATTGTATGGGTTTCGCTAATTGCAAATTCTTTTCAGTTTTGTTTATTGTTTTTGCTGAATAGCTTGTAGTATATAATTACAGCGTGTGTGTGTGTGGGTGTGTGTGTGTGTTTTTCACATATGTATTTGTTTAAAATTATATGCGATAAAACGCTTTAATCAAAATGTTGCTGAAATTTTGTTTTTGTTTTATTTTTTGCAGCTGTTGACAGCCAACGCACGAGATACGAATACGTGTTTCGAAAATACCAACGAGCCCGAAGATAAAGAATTTTATATATAACAATTTTTGTGTATATACAAAAAAGAAAAACAGCAACAATTTAATTAAAATTCATGCTCAAGCTCTAGCCGGAACGTGTGGAATTGAAACGCATTTCGAAAGCGCAAAAAGCAAAGAAACGCGAGGCGTGAGAATTTGCGATAAGAAATGCAACAAACTTAACAAATTGAGAGCAACAAACAAAACGAAGTGAGGAAACGAAGAAGAGAGCGCAAGAGAGAGAGAGAGTAAATACGCTTTATAAGCGACAGAAGAGAGTGCAGAGAGCGCAGAGAGCTTAAGTTTGTAGCGCCGATAAGCGTTATCAGGCGCCCAGGTGTCCACGCCTACTCGCCTACACGCACATAGACTAAGCCTAATGGCCGACGAAGATCTCAGCCCGCTGCCGTTTCGGCGGGAGCGCAACTTGAGCAATCGGAACTTCAACAAGCGCAACTCGCGTCGCCGCAGCGGCCAGCCATCGGAGCTGGAGCGTCACAGTAGTGCCGTGGACACGGAGTACGGCGGACGACGCGACAGCAACGCGAGCAGCAGTTCCAGTTCCTTTCAGCTCTCCTACTCGGTCAATTCGGATACGGAGAGTGCGTTCAATCGACGTTCCGTGCTCAAAATGCGCGCCGACAGCGATGACACGGCGGAGCCACCCAGCACGCCCACATATCCACAGACACCCAGCACACCGGATCCGGCACTGCTTGATGTGCGGCAGAAGGTGCAGCGCTTCGAGACGCTAAAGACGACCATCAGCTATAAGCGACAGGAGCGCTTCAGCCTGAAGTTGCTCGAGAATCGTCGCCATCCCAGCTTTTCGCAGCACGACGAACATGCGCAGATCCGAACTCCACCCCCGCCGCGTCGCATTGCCTTGCCTGGACTCAGCTCCTGCAGCAATTCCATTTCCAGCACGCCCGTCAGCATTGACGAGGTGCGCTCCGAGGATGAAGTCGATCAGATATCCGACTTTGAAACGGATCCCCAAGCCCCTGTCGACTACGTGCTCAGCGAGAGCAGCTCCGCAGTGTTGCCCAGCGACAGCCCAGATCTAGAGGATGTCAAAGCACAGGCAGTGCAGCGTTCGATTAGCGCGGATCCATCAGGCACTCTCTCTCCCGCACTAAAGCTGCGGAATGACAAGGATTTTCCAAGGTGAGTGAAATACCGGCCGGGCGATAAAGGGACTTATTGAACTGGGGAAGCTTACAGCTTGTGTATCGAATTCGTTTGCTCGTTAGTTTCGACTCGTTTATCAATTTACAAATGATCTATTGATTCAATTTTGCCTTGCTTCGTTTTTCAACACTGTTAAACACAATTTGCTGACAATTTAAAAACATTGTTGGAGTGTTGAATTTTTTGCAATTTGTGTTCCCTTCTTTTAATTTTTGAATTCGATGTTTACATAATTTTTGTAGATAGGATTTTCAGTCAGAATTTTTTCCAGCAACCTTTGGCTGTATTCCTGTCTTTCACAATGTTGTTATACAATTTGCTTTTTTGCTTCCTTTGGAAAGATTTTCCAACACCGTTCGCTTACGCATAAACGACCTTCGCACACTGTTTGCTGTGTCAGCGGGCGGTCAAAGTTGCGCTTCCATTTTCGTAATTTGCAAAGTCGAAGTCTAATTAAGCGACTTGGCCATAAAATTCGTTGGTATTTATCGCCATGCTGAATCTGAATTTAATTGGCAGGTGTTTGCTCTCAAACATGTTATTTGACCAGGCAGCGCTTGGAGTGTAAATTGCGTTTGGGATCGGATTTGGAACCGGTTGCGACTTGGAGTCAACTGTCAACATTTATCCAGAAACTACTTAAACTTGATTAGAAAATGTAGCAAAATTTGTAAAATGTATCTGTCGAGTCCAGGTTTTCGAAATCAGCTGCAGCTAAAATATGGAGGGTTCAGAACCCAACGATGGGCCAAGCGGCAGCAAACCGAGGGAGGCGGCAAAGCCGGAGCGACCCGACGAGAATCAACAGCAAAGCGACGAGGATGTCAGTATAGAAGTCGTGCAGCTGAACGATGGTTCCCGACCATTAATGGTGTCCAGAGGCAACAATACGGAGCCAACGCGGCGCTCATCAATGAAAATGGAAAGAACGTTGCGAATAGAGATTCTGACACGAGAAGCCAGCTCGGAATCGATTTTGGATATACCAAAGGAGGAGGAGGAGAAACCAAGGCACATAGAAAGAGTGGTGCGCAAGGAACCTCCGCAGCCAAGTACCGACCGCTCGTTGGATCTGGACGACACCAGTCGAATGAAATTGTTTGGCCAAAAGAAACTCAGCTATGAGAGCGATGGGGGTAGCAGCCAAACGGAAAATAGATTATCCCCGGATAATACTGAGGCCAATTCAACAGACTCCTTTGGCATCCAGAGGCCCGAGGGCCTCGTCGAAGGGGTAGGTACTCAGCACCGTCATTGTCGCATCGATATTACTTGCTAGCTTTGCAGTGTGTGTGTCTTACGTCTTCCAGCTGACTGGCTTTATAGTCACCGGCGTCTCAATGTTATTGCTGATCATGATCTCCTGGCTCCTAATCTCTCAGATCGACTTTTTCATGCATTGCTTGAAAACTGTATCGGTGGTATTGCATCAGGCGGTTGGCGGTGTAAATATATTTCAAGGCCATCAAGATCCCATCAAGCATATCAAGAGGGTGAGAGAATTCGCTATCTCTCTCTATTTTGTTGTCCATCTTTTTGTAGTAGTTGCTTTTATTGTTGCGATTCCCTGGCCAGACCAAATCTCTGAGTGCCTTCAGCTCGTGCCTTGGCGTGGGCGACGCCTATCAGCTGGCATTCAGACGACCCGTGATTCATGCAGCGTAATTTCTTATCTTCTGCTTGGTTGTTGATGTTGTTGTTTGCGTAGTGTTCTGGGTGCCAGCTAAAGTCAAGTGATATACTCTATAAAAAGATTGCCGTGTTTGACCGCCCCGTTTGCTCTTATCGTACACAGAAATTATCGTTCTACTCCGAGAAGGAAGACTGAAATCATTGGCACAACAAACCATCAACTGGTTGGTAAATTTCATTCAGTCTATCAACCCAAAGAGGAGTAAGTGCATCCCATTAAATCACTTATGTAACAACTAATACTAACTAATTAATTGCATTTTTCCAGAGAGGATGAAATTGAAATTGAGTTGCGTGATAAGAGCGACAAGTGCGTGCATCCCATACTCGAGGAGCTCATCCATACCGAGGAGGCCTATGTGAAGAATCTGTTCACTGGCCTGGAGAACTATGGCAATATATTTCAGCGCAAGGATCTGCCGCTGGGCCTGCGTGGCAAAAAGTACGATCTCTTTGGGAACATCGAGCAAATCGCCGAGTTCCATCGCGACGAGTTTTTGCCCATGCTGCAGCGCAATCGTCGCGATCTGAAACGACTTTTTGATGAATTTCTCGAGTTCTTGGATGTGAGTAGCGATCGTATAGCTCTTAAAACGATCAATAATTGTTCGAATTTCCTTTCGCAGCAAAACTGTTTCTATGGCTATGTGATCTTCACGATGAACAAACAGAAATCATTAAAGCTGTGCGATCTCTATAAGAACTATTTTACGGTAGGTAAAGCGGCAAATTATTTCACATAAGCTAATAATATATTGTCTTATCTAAAAAATACGTTCTTTACTTACAGAGCATACGTCTGGAGCGCGATGATAAGCTGGGCATTAATAGCTTCTTAGTGCAGCCCATACAGCGCATGGCGCGTTATCCCTTGCTCCTTACCCAGTTCATTAATG